AAAAAAAATTATAAATAAACAGGTTTTCGTCATTTACTAACATAATCAAAACATGAAATAGATTTTCATATAACAGAATTTCGAATTTTCTTTAAATGAACCAATCAAACACTTTCTTTAATTTCTAAATCAGAATTTTACGAATTTGGTAATTATTAGTTATGTAATTTTTATTACCACTGATAAACCTTTAAAGGAAATATTAAACACGAAATGTAATCTGAGTTCTTTTATAAAGGCATAAAAAAGTTATTGTTCTTAAAAAAAAACTGTAAACAAAATGCCTAAAGATCAAACTCCCCAAAAATGCGAATTTATCTCTGAAAAAGTTACTTCATACCCTTATCCCAAAAAAGAACAATTTGTTAGCAAAGATATTTATAATGAAGAAAAACGTCTTCGTAAAAAATTTGAAAGACAGATTGAAGAGATTAATGAAGCGTCTCTTCAAAACATCAGCAGATTACAAGAAGTTATTGAAGAGAAGAATAATTTTATCGACAAATTACTTGAAGAATTCAGATGGCTTGAAGCATATTATGGTTCAAGCTTTCAGCATGCCAAATGGGTTTATCAAAATCAAATTTCTGTTTATCAAGAGGAAGTTGATGAAAGCCTTTATACTGAGGATCTTTATATAGATCCTAAGGTTCCAGTGGACAACACTGATAACCAAGAGGCTTTTGTTGATAATGTTGATGACCATGAGATCTCAGGTACTGAGAATAATGATTCAGATGTTGATTTTGATCCTTTTAAACTTCCTGAAATTCTTGAGGACGAATATTATACTTTTGAGGAATTTGATTAATTTTATTCATATAATATTTCTAAATAGTATTTTTCCTAAATAGTATTTTTCCTAAATAGTATTTCCTAAAGTGGTATTTTTAAACAATGTTGTATAAATAATTTATAATAAAATATTAATAAATAATAAATTATAAAAAGAATAAATGTCGCCTTTATCGATTTTTTTAAAAAAAATTAAATGGGTCGTGATCAAAGATTTCTACATATCATGTCTACTATTTATTATTGTGTTCCTTGTTTAACTCATTTCAAATGCAAGAAAAATCTGTCTGATAAGGATAAACAGCAACGTGAAAAAGAATATTTGAAGACAGGGGTTCCTCAGTGTAATAAATGTCAGATGTTTCATTGGCGATGCAAGGATAAAAAATGTACTCAATGCTGTAAATTGAACGAATGTAATGAAATTACTTGTTCAGCTTGTAAAGAATCCAACATTGATTGTAAACGCGTTTTACCAAAAATCAAAGAGGAATTTGCTGTATTGGAAAAACTCGGACTTACATATATTTCTGGCCAGTATGAATCGACTGATTCAGGAAAATTTTATGAACAAGCATATTTTCAATTCGAAAAATGCCAAACTATAACCTCTGTGAAAAAAATATTCAATCACCAAGCAATGAATTTCCCTAAATACTTAAATGGTGATTCTGATAAGAATCGTGATTACTCTCAAAAGACTTGGAATCGCTATAAGGATCCAAATCATAAAAAAAAATGCCGTTGCAATTTCCAAGAGAAAGAAAAAATTTGTAATATTTGTACTAAAGACTGTATAGACAAACGTACTTTTGCTCGTTGGCGAGCTTCAGAATTATCAAATGTTGAGAATGGACCTTGGGAATTTGGAATTTATCGTTATTTAGGAACTTCTTCTGAACTAAAAAAAAGTGACGATACATTAAATGAAAAGAGATTAGAAGATATTGAAAGAATTAATCATATTATCGAAAATGATCTTACTATAGATGATATCTTAAAGAACAAAAAGGATTTATTACTGAGATTGTGGCTTAGGAGTTTGAAAGATTTGGAATATATGAT